GAGAATTTCAATGTCTTTGAGTTCTTCTCAAAAGCACTCCAGCTAAGGTGTAGAACTCTTAAGTTTTTCAGCCTCTCCAGAATTGTAATCTGGTCTTCCTTGAGATCAGTTTCAATTAATGATAACTTGATGAGGTTTGGATAGTACTGGAGGTCATTTGGTAGCTCTGTGGTTAGCCCTTGCAGACACAACTTGCATATCTGACGACAACTTGACACTATCATTGATATATGTAAATTTTGGAAGGTAGTAATTCACTGATTCTTATTGAATGAATAATCTCTTTACAATACTACTATATGTAGTCATATATTTTCAATCAATTCCTACAAACTAGCTACTAATAGACAGCTCATAATACAAAATAGGAATATAATTAATTACAATATATGGCAAGTATCTTGATGATGATCCTTGACTTTCTCAACACTCCCCCTCAAGTTGGTGAGTGAATGTTTCGAACTCCCAACTTGCCTAGCAAAGAATGAAATCTTTCCTTCCCAAGAGCTTTAGTGAACAAATCAGCAAGTTGTGATATGGAAGGAACAAATCCCGTCACAATTTTTCCTTCCATAATCTTATCTCGAACAAAATGACAATCAATCTCAATGTGCCTTGTTCGCTCGTGAAATACCGGATTTGCCGCAATATGAAGAGCGGCTTGATTGTCGCATAATAAGGTAGCCGGCCCTTGGTCTTGAACTTGAAGATCTCGAAAAAGGCTTTGGAGCCATGCAAGCTCACAACATGCTGCTGCCATGGATCTATATTCTGCTTCAGCAGAAGATAAGGATACAGTTTTCTGTCGTTTGCTTTTCCATGAAATAAGGCTATTTCCAAGGAAAACGCAATAACCAGTAGTGGAACGTCGAGTGGTAGGACATCCTGCCCAATCGGAATCACAATATGCCTTTAACTTCAATGAATTTTGAGATGGAAACATCATGCCTTGCCCTGGTGTGCCTTTCAAATACTTCAAGATGCGTAAAGCAGCTTCATAATGAGACTTTTGAGGTGATTGCATGAATCTACTCAATAAATGAACTGAATATGTAATATCCGGTCGGGTTATAGTGAGATATATCAACCGACCAATCAATCTTCTGTACTTGACTGGATCATCCAATGCATGCCCATCATCAGGGAGTAATTTGAGATTTTGTTCCATAGGAAAGCTTGCAGGCCGTGATCCTAGAAAACCAACATCATTTAGGATATCCAATAAATACTTTCTTTGTGAAATGAAAATACCTTGTTTCGATCGTGCCACCTCAATTCCCAAAAAATATTTCAAATTACCAAGATCTTTGATACGAAACTTGGTATTAAAAAAAGATTTGAGATCATCAATTGCTTTCAAGTCATTCCCCGTTATCAGTATGTCATCCACATAGATGAGAAGCACAGTAAATGACTTCCCTCTTCTCTTAGTGAAAAGTGAGTAGTCTGCTTTAGATTGAACATAACCAGCTGATCGAATAGCTTGTGAGAACTTGAAAAACCATTGCCGAGAAGCTTGCTTCAACCCATAAATTGACTTATGAAGGCGACACACCAAATTCTCCCCCTGTCGCCGAAGACCAGGCGGGGGAAGCATGTAGATTTCCTCCATGAGATCACCATGAAGGAATGCGTTATGGACATCAAGGTGATGAAGTGACCAGGAGTGAGTAGCAGCAAGAGCAAGTAAGCAGCGGAAAGTGACAAGTTTAGCAGTGGGAGAAAAGGTATCATGATAGTCAATACCTTCCAATTGGGTGTAACCTTTAGCAACCAACCGAGCTTTGTAACGCTCAATACTCCCATCAGATTTTCTTTTGATTTTATAAACCCACCGACAACCAATGGGTACCTTCCCGGAAGGGAGAGGAGAAAGTGTCCAAGTGTCATTGGCCTGAAGAGCCTGGAGTTCCTCGTCCATGGCCTTGCACCAATGGGGATGTTTGGCAGCTTCTGTATAACTGTTAGGCTCCAAAACAGTAGACAATTGTGCAATGAAGGATTGATACTTAGGAGAGAGCCCTTGATAGGACAAATAATTAGAAAGAGGATACCTTGTACGAGGACCGGAAGGCGAGGAGTTGGCGGGGGGCAACGGAATAGTCGGACAAACATAATCATGGAGCTTGGTCGGCGGAACTCGGATGCGACTGGAATGGCGCAAAGGAGCAGGGGATGCAGCGGCAGGCTGGGCAGATGGTGGACACGGGTCCAGAGAGAGAGCAGGCCCACCAGGAAGAACCGAGACTTGGTCAAGCCCGTCAGTAGCAGAGGTGGGTAGTTTGGGGACTGGTGCTGGGCCAGGAGAAAGGCCCGGGTCGGTAGGGTGGTGGTCTATGTGGGAAGGGATGGGGACGGTAACATGTGGAGAGGGAAGTGGGCCTGGGTCGGCATGGGGATCAGTATAGGGGTCGGTGTGTGGGACAGTGTTTGGGTCAGTATGTGGGTGCGGATTTGGGTGAGGATTTGGGTGGAATGGAAAAATATGCTCATGAAAGGTGACATCTCGACTAGTAAAAATTTGTTTGGAATGAAGATCATATAATTTGTAAGCTTTTTGGCCAAAAGGATACCCAATGAAAACACATTTTTTAGCCCGAGCATCAAACTTATGTTGGGGGTGAAGATTAGTGGCATATGCTAAACACCCAAAAGTGCGTAAATGGGTATATGAAGGAGGGTGACCAAATAATTTCTCATAAGGCGTAAGACCCGATAAGAGAAGGGTGGGAATGCGATTAATGAGGTAAATGGATGTGAGAATGCATTCATCCCAAAAATGCAAGGGAATATGTGACTGAAAATGCAAAGCTCGTGCAGTTTGAAGAATATGTCTATGCTTTCGCTCCACAACCCCATTTTGTTGAGGGGTGGAAACACAAGAGCGTTGAAAAAGTATGCCATGATCATTAAAGAAAGGAAGCATAGAAACAAATTCACCGCCATTGTCAGTTCTAATGGTTTTAATTTTGTGGTGAAATTGTGTTTCGGCATAGGCAATGAAAGATTTAAGCAAAGATTGAGTGTTTGATTTATGACGCATGAGGTAAACCCAAGTGCAACGAGTAAAATCATCAACAATAGTAAGGAAATAACGAGCACCCGAACGGGATGCTACTCTATGGGGACCCCAAATATCACAATGTATAAGTTCAAAAGCATGCTTAGTATTAATATGACTTAATCCAAAAGACAATCGAGTTTGTTTTGCCAAAGGGAAAATGTCACAAGGTTTATTTTCAGAAAGGGAAATTTCAGGAAAATGTTTAGCTAAAAGTTGGAGTCTCAAGGGTGAAGGATGACCAAGTCGTTGGTGCCACGTGACGGAAAAAACCTTGGGAGGTGTAGGTGATGTTCGCCCTTTGGAGTCCACCAAATAGTAAAGTCCATTATGTTGTCGCCCCCAACCAATCATCGTCCTCGTCTCCAGGTCCTGTAAAATACAAAAATCAGGATAAAAGGTTACTGAGCATCTCAATGATCGAGTGATCCGACTAACGGAAATTAAGTTGATCAAAAAAGAAGCTATGCCAAGCACATTATAAAGAGATATTTGGGAACCAAAATTGTAGGTGCCAATAGAATTGATGGGAACCCGAGTCCCATTAGGTAATGCCACAGGTGGTAGAGGAGGATTGGAGGTTGCATTAGTCAATGAGAGACTAGATATGTGGTCAGTGGCACCACTGTCTATAACCCATTGGAAAGAAGAAGGCCCACCTGCTAGATTAGCCTTAGAATCAAGACCCATCTTTTGACTCATTATGGATAAGAGTTGCTGAAATTGGTCGGTGGTGAGGTTGGGCATGGACGGTGCAGCGGGAGAGGCCACGTTGTTGACAGCTGGTTTGCCGCTCGGTGCAGCGGTAGAGCGCCCACCAGAACCACTCGAACTGTTTGACTTACCATGAAGACGATGTCCCGGTGGATAGCCATGGAGCTTCCAACACGTTTCAATAACGTGATGATCCTTATCGCAGTATGAACAATGCAGTGGCTTCCTCGGATGATCTTCCTTTTCCATGGTTGCCATTGTTGCCACGGTTCGTTTGAACAACCATAGCTGCAGGTTCAACGAGGCCAGGCCCAACAGCCATGCCTCTCTGCTTCTCTTCTTGTGTCAACATGGAATAGACAGATCGAATCGAAGGCAATGGTTGAATAAGTAAGATCTGCCCACGAATCGCAGAATACGAGTCGTCTAACCCCATTAAAATCTGCAAAACCTTGGTCCTCTCCACCTGTTCGTTATTAGATTGAACAGCCCCGCAAGAACACGGCTTTAAAGTTTGGTAGGAATCCATCTCATCCCACAAACCTTTAAGCTTGGTGAAATACACGTTGATAGGTTGTTGACTCTGTGTAAGACGTGCAAGTTCACGTTGGATTTCAAAGAGACGAGACACGTTTTGTTGAGAAAAACGTTCTCGAATATCATCCCAAACATCTTTGGCTGTCGTCATGTACACCACACTGGTGGCCAGGTCGCTGGAAAGTGTATTGATAATCCACATAAGGATCATGTCGTTGCACCGTTGCCAAAGAGCAGATTCTGTGGGCTTTGTCTTCGCAGATGGCTGTTCAACACTTCCATCAACAAACCCTAATTTGTTCTTTGCACTGAGTGCAATTGACATGGAACGACACCAAGTGCCATAATTTTCACCGGTAAGTTTGGTTGAAACGAGCATCATTCCCGGGTGATCAGAATGATGAACGAAGAAAGGACTAGCAGGATCACTGGATGGTTCAAGTTTAGCCATTGCTGACGTTGAATCCTCCACCATAGTCCAAGAAAAAAAAGGAACTAAGAACCCAGGAAGGGCTCTGGTACCATGTAAATTTTGGAAGGTAGTAATTCACTGATTCTTATTGAATGAATAATCTCTTTACAATACTACTATATGTAGTCATATATTTTCAATCAATTCCTACAAACTAGCTACTAATAGACAGCTCATAATACAAAATAGGAATATAATTAATTACAATATATGGCAAGTATCTTGATGATGATCCTTGACTTTCTCAACAATATAACTCTCGAGTCCTGCACACGCAAGTTACGCACAGATAAGGACTGAAGAAGGTTGAATTTGAGGCTTGTAGACTTGAAGATTTTCTCCAGATTTCTCAAATCACATTCGTACACATCTATAAACAGTTTCCTCAGACTTATCAAATCAGCAAGTTCATTCAAATCAGAATAGCGAGTTGAAACATATTGTAACGTCTGCAAATTGCGGAGAGGAGCCAATCTTAGTTTATCATTATCACTTATACTGTAGTTTAAGGGTAAATATAAGTGTCTCAGTTGGTCCATCTTCCATATAACATTTGGGATAACTGTTGAGCCATATAAGCGTAAATCTAGAGTTTGCAAACATAACAGATTACCTATGGATGATGGCAACCGTCTTATATCACTGTTGAATAAACTTAAAAACCTTACCTTAAGTGGATTAGGCTCCCAATATCCCTCGATAGCTCTACTACTCTTTTCATGTTTTCCAATTTTAAAACTCTAAGCAGTTTGAAGTCCTTGAAAATTGGCCGTAGTAACTTTATATTTCTTGGTGTCCAGTCAACCGGGGTAAAGTATGACAAAGACCTGATGTGAACATTACTTTCATCTCTTGATGGAACCAGTTTATCAGCACTCCCCTCCAAATAGACTGCAAGTCTTCTAACTTTATCCGTTGATGCTACTTTGGTTACCGTGGAAGAAGAAAAAAGATACATTGCCTCATTTCTGTGCGAAAAATTCACAATCTGGAGAAAGTTTTCCTCACCTGCCTTTAACAAGCACAAGTCTCGCAAAAGATCATGAAGGTGGCAAGTTTTGATCTTTCTAATCGAACCTTGATCTCCAACTTGAACCATACACCTTTCCACCAATTCATTGAAGCAGCTGTATGATACATCTCCATTGTTTCCAATGAACCTGCAGGTCTTAGCTGTGTGAAAGGTACAAGACCTTCTGCCTAACTGAGTTAGTCTTTTCACTGGTATGGATGAATCCTCAGGAAAATGAGCCAAATATAGAAAGCATAGTTTCAAGTAATACGGTAAATCATCATAACTCAATTTCAAGATCCACAATGAACCAGCGTATTCCTCTTCGTGACCTTCACCTCTTCTTATGTATTCTTCAGCATTTTTTAACATCATATCCCATTCATTCTCCGTGTCTTTTCTAACTAGTAGTCCTGCAAGCACAGTGATGGCTAATGGGAGACCTCCACAGTGATGAAGCATCTTCTTTCCTAATTCTTTCTTCTTAGCATAGCTTCTAGAGTCTGAAAAAATAAAAAACTGAATTAACAACACTTAGAAAATCAGTAATTAATTGTAGAAAACAAAAACAAAAAGAGTAAACAATTAACAATATTTTTGACAAATGACAATACACTATGAACTTTGTTTTCTGGATCTTATTATAAGTTATACGGATCGAGAAAGCAGGTCACAAAAAAGGAGAAAAGAAAAAGTTAGAATCAGGAGAGTTCTTATAGCATTTTCTTGGAGAAATTTGTACAAGTAAATCTGAAAAACTAGGATTAAATTAAATAATAGCTTACTGCAAGCAATTAGCCTAATTATAAACAATCAAACAATCAATCTAACAGTAGTTAAATAGAATAAAATCGGTATCAATTGATATCTTTAACAAAACTGAATGTCAAATGCATCTTGTTTTCTAAAGTTCAATTTTCATTTCCTGAGCTATGATCAATCCTCACACGTGAAGTTTTGAGTTCGAAGTTGCACTAGAAAAGCTATATATTTTCCGAAATTAGTTCTTGCGATAACTAAAATGATAATAATAAAAAGTCATAGAAGAGTTTGGTGAGGAAATACTTGTATCATCCTTTCCAGCAATTGCTATCTTACTGAGCAGTTCCCAACTTTCGTTCTCATTTAGTGGTCGGGGTTGGTAGAGGAAACCATTTCTATCAGCACACAAAGCGACTGCTTTTTTGCGAGTGGTGAGTAATATCCTGCTCTTTGTTCCCCCGTGTGGAAATGCAGCTTTTAAAGACTCCCACGCCTCGATGCTCCAAATGTCATCAAGGACCACCAAACATCTCGAATCTTGAAGCGTAAGACAAATCTTTTGGGCTATTTCATCATCCCTCCATTTTGCAATTGCTTCTCTTTGCTCAGTGGTAGGAGACATGAGTTTAAATAAAATTGCTTCCCAAACACTTCTAACTTGACATCTTTGAGATACGCACACCCAAGCGAAACCAACAAAGTGGTGCCGAACTTCACTATGATGATAGACATGTTTCGCAAGAGTGGTCTTTCCCAAGCCGCCCTTGCCCCAAATCGAAACAACAAGGCATTTGTCTTCTTTCATCAATTGCATAATCACTTCCTTCGCACTGTCCTCCAACCCAACGATATCAGGTTCAATAACATGAGAGTAACTTCGCCTCAGTAGGTGTTGCCTCTCGTACAATTGCAAGGAACCGGCACCTCCGTCCTCCCTTATTTCTCTTAGGTTGAAAGTTTCCAAACTCGACCGCAAATTTGAAATTCTGGTGGTAATGTTCTCAATTTCTGTACCAATCTTGTGAAGGTCAACTCCTTCTTTCAAGATGCAAGAAAACCTTTTCAGAGTAATCGTAATACCCCCTCTCCTCTTTAAAACCGCTTTCAACGTATAAGCTTCAACGACATCCTCGAGATCATAAGCAGCATCTACAATTTTAGCAATCCAGATACGTAGTGTTTCATCATGCTCTTGTCTTTTATCTGCATCTTTCAGAAAGCTCCTCATAAACTGTAGCTCGGTTTGTGCAAAGTCAACGATATCCCCGACTCCATACAAGAATTTGGCTTCTTGAATGAAGTATCCGAGCCTTACAGCCACAAACGAAACAACAGCCTCAGCCATATTGGTGATGTCTCTGGCCAAAAGGAAAACAACTAATATAAACCAGCTCCTCTCTTTTCTTTTTTGTATGTTGGTTCAACCTTATCAATGGAGATCATCCACAAAAAAAAAAAAAAAAAAAAAAAAAAATGCCATTGTCTGATCACTTTAATTAATTAGTTGTTTGATATTTCAATAACTTGCACAGGAAACAATCCCAATATAAATAATTGCAGAGACGATTTCAAACGACCTTGGTTGCATATATAGTTTTATTATCCAGTCATTTTTTATCAATTAGATGGGTACCCAACTTGGGAATTTTATTTCAAAATTGGAAAGAGTGGAGTGAGTTATGTTTAAAATAAACATGCCAAAGGGCTTATTTGGAAATTTATTCAAAATGACCGAGACACTTTTGATGAAGCGTTTTTAAAACCAATCCTCAATAAAAATGCAAGTAAATCCTAGAAAATCACTTGAAGTGTTTTCTACAAGAAACACAAAACTGGTGCTTCTTAAATAAAATAGTTCAACTACTTTGAAAACCCAAAAACAATTTTACCAAAAGTGCTTTCAATCATTTTGTTGATGCACAAAACCGGAGGTCTTGGAATAACGTAAATCCGACCGTGAATCTGCATGAAATGTAAATAACACAAGATTTATCGTGGTTCACCCCAAGGTTTGGGCTACGTCCACACTAATTGTATTGTATTTCTCTGAGAAGTGAGGGAGAGAGAGAGAGCTCTGAGAGTGAGAGCGTTGAGAGGGTGGGGAGCCTTAGGAATTGGCCTCCCCTAATTGTGAGGGTGAGGGGTCCTTTTATAGAATAAGAACTCATCACTTATTACATATTTGCCCATTTCTTTATCATATAATTACATTTAAGTCCCCCGAGTATTTATACGAGGTCTAAATACGAGGCCCTAAATATGGTATAAACAGTAGTCTCCCAAGTTTTCAATCAAGAGAGTCTTTTGGCTGGAGACTTGAAATTCAGTCCATGTGTGGGCCGAAGTAACTAGATACTGTCTTGAATTGATGCTCGATATGATGTAGTGCTCAATCTGAAATAACGCTCAACTTGAAGTAGCACACGCTGCGAGGCTGCTCGGCTCGTGGCTTATGTTGCCTTGGTTGGCTCAGCTTGCGGCGTTTGAAAGTGAGGGAGTCCATTTTATAGAATAAGGGCTCGCTCCTCAATACATGAATGATGGGCTAGAGTTGATGCTCTCTAATGATAGTGAAGAAGTCCCTTTTATAGAATAAGGGCTCGTTCCTCAATACATAAATGATGGGCTAGAGTTGATGCTCGCGGTAAGGCGGTTGCTTAGTAGGCGGCGATGCTCTCTAATGGTAGTGAGGGAGTCCCTTTTATAGAATAAGGGCTCGCTCCTCAATACATAAATATGGGCTAGAGTTGATGCTCTCTAATGGTGGTGAGAGAGTCCCTTTTATAGAATAAGGGCTCGCTCCTTAATACATAAATAATGGGCTAGAGTCCCCCATGTCTTCGGTCAATAGAGTCTGTTGGCTGGAGACTTCAAATTGAATCCATGTATGGGCCGAAGTGACGGTTGTTCGGAAGCGATATTTGTATACCCTGCACTGAAGCTTTGTAAGTGAAGCTTTGAAGCTTTGTAAGTGAAGCTTTGAAGCTGGAGCTCTGTAAATGAAGCTTTTGAAGCTAGAGTTTTTGTAAATGAAGCTTTTGAAGCTGTAGCTCTGTAAATGAAGCTTTTGAAGCTAAAGCTTTTGTAAATGAAGCTTTTGAAGCTGATTGACATGAGTGATGTTCATGAACGTTTCTAGCTTTTGTAAATGAAGCTTTTGAAGCTGTAACTCTGTAAATGAAGCTTTTGAAGGTAGAGCTTTTGTAAATGAAGCTTTTGAAGCTGATTGACATGAGTGATGCTCATGAACGTTTGATTGACATGAGTGATGCTCATGAATGTTTGATTGACATGAGTGATGCTCATGGATGTTAACATGAGTGATGCTCATGAATGTTGACATAAGTGATGCTCATGAATGTTTATGTATGATTGATATGAGTGATGCTCATGAATGTTTATGTATGATTGATATGAGTAATGCTTATGTATAATATGAAGTACTGGGCGTACTTTTGATCACTTGGGTGGTGGCATGAATGGCTAGTTGCCAAATGATATTAGAGTATGGGTTGTACATTTCATCACCTGGTTGGTGGTAATAGCGGCGGGTTGCCGAATAATTTTGGAGTACTGGGCGTACTTTTGGTCACCTGGTTGGTGGTAATAGCGGCGGGTTGCTGAATAATTGTGGAGTACTGGCGTACTTTTGGTCACCCGGTTGGTGGTAATAGCGGCGGGTTGCCGAATAATTGTGGAGTACTGGGCGTACTTTTGATGACCTGGTTGGTGCTATTTTGGGCTTATGGGCCTTAGCTCTCCACAACATGTCAGCCCATTATTTTGGGCTTTTTTTTTGGTACTATTATTACCCTCTGATGGGGTTTATACAGATATCTCCGAAAGATACGAATAATAAATTACATCATTCAAAAACAAATGTTTCGACAGTTGCAGATCGTTGGTGCGTACCGGGTTGTTGTAGATCTTTTTCCATGTGCGCATTCCAGTGGCTTCTTCAGAAAAATGGGAACATGCATGATGAAAGTTTTCTTTTTCAAAAGTTGATGGCATCTTCTGCTTTGGTGTTCGACACCCTTGGCTTCCTGTGGCTTTTCTTGTGGCTTTTATAAAAAAGCCATTTCTCCATTATTATCAAGTTGAGGCTGTGATGATGAAAGTCTCACCAAACATCTTCTGGTACACTTTTTCAAAGCATGCTCATTTGCAGATTTTGCATGCTTGCTTTATAGCAAACACACCCATAGCTAGCTTTTCCATGTGGGTGGTTGATTAAAGCCTTCAGACTCACCAGATTAAAATAATGACAGCTCTAGGGTTATGGGTAAACACTGTATCGGGTTGAGCCATTGCTTGTGAACTTTTCTTGAAATAAAGACAAGAATAGCTCTAGGGCTGAGCCGTCTTGTCACCCTTTGGGGGTTTGCCCTTATAGAAAACCAGAGTCTTTCTCCATCTAACAACAGCTCCATTAGATGACTTCACTTCCTTGTCAGCTCCAGTCGCCTTCCAATATCCATCCTCAGCTGCCCTGTTTGGGCGACTTCCATCGCGATCCTATATTTCTCATATTTTTCAGCAAGTACTTCGGGATTGTGGCAGTATAGGTTACATTCAAAGATCCGGTTGGGCAGCAAGGGCTGATCCAAAACATATGTGCCTCCATGAGCGCCGCGTTGCTCTACCAGTACGACTGTTGGAGCTTTCAAGTACGCCAACGACACCCACCTGGTAAACAAGACGATGTCATCTCTCAACCCACTGATCCGTAAATCCAGCAACCCGCTCAGCATGATCGCGTTGTACAACAACCTCGGAAATGACACAAAGTCGTGGGGCCCGCTGAAAACGCCAACCACGATTTTCTCCATTGTTTTCATTGTTGTTTTCAGAGGAGGATTAGACTTGGAACGCTTCCAAACATTCTCTCGGTTGTGACGGAAGTGGCGTCGCTGAGGGGTTGAGGTGCTTGCCGTTGTTAAGAGGCAGATCGTGATGAAGAGAATACCTTACTTCATGTCCTCCGTAATATTATTGTGTTTCTCACTCATTTGCTACAGAAAATAACCCATTTGCTAGAAAATGGTAAATGACGGTTTTTTGAGCTCCACTAGTTGGGCTTTGGTGTTTATTACCGTGATGATGTCGTGATGGACAACAGAGATTGAAGCAGCAGAGAAGCTCATTGTGAAATAAACCACGATGAGTTGAGATTTTCTTGAGTTGTGTTAAGTGGTGTTTGGAGATTTGAAATGGGTTTTGCAGATTTACGGTGGACAGTTGTGAGATCTCACGGTGGTGAGATGAAAAAATGAAAGAGAATCGACATAGCTTTTCGTGTCATTTCCCACAGACGGCATCAAATGTTGATGCACAAAACCAGAGGTCTTGGAACAACGTAAATCTGATTGTGAATCTGCATGAAATGTAAATAACACAAGATGTATCGTGGTTCACCCCAAGGTTTGGGCTACGTCCACACTAATTGTATTGTATTTCTCTGAGAAGTGAGGGAGAGAGAGAGAGCTCTGAGAGTGAGAGCGTTGAGAGGGTGAGGAGCCTTAGGAATTGGTCTCCCCTAATTGTGAGGGTGAGGGGTCCTTTTATAGAATAAGGACTCATCACTTATTACATATTTGCCAATTCCTTTATCACATAATTACATTTAAGTCCCCCGAGTATTTATACGAGGTCTAAATACGAGGCCCTAAATATGGTATAAACACATTTTAACATCACTTCTAACAAGCCCAAAATTTTCATTAAAAATCCAAGTACTTTTTGAAGAAGCGTATAACAAGGGCTATATGACCGTGATCGCCTCAAACCATTTTCTTCCAAACCTAATTAGAAGTGTTTTTCATTGTCGGAAATTACTAACAAAAAATACAGACGTTGGCTGGCATTTTACATTTCATTGTCGGAAATTACTAATTAGAAGTGGTTTTGGAGCATCGATGCCTGATTACCTAGCCTTCCAAACCTAGCAGATGAAACACCATAAAAAATTTCATTCAACAGCTCCCACACCATTGTATTGTGATAATCAAGCAGTTTTGTACATTGCAACGAATCTTGTTTTTCACGAACATACAAAGCACATTAAAATTAACAGTCCCATAGTTTGCGAAAAACTGCAAGCTGGAATAATTAGTCCATTGCATGCTCCTACTCGTTTCCAGTTGGCAAATGTATTTACAAAGGCCTGGGAAAATGAACAGTTTGCTCATCTCGTTTGTTTGACGACGAACATAGGCTGAAATAATTGCAGTGATCTTCGACATAAAAACTTTCGCATCTTCATAATAGGCCCAATAGGGGACCCATTAATCGAATGCTCCCGCAAATGAAAAGAAAGACAACTACTGTGAGATGATATAAATTACAGTACAATCTCTCTATAGTGATACTTCTACTAATGTAGTTTTTTTGTGTCCATACAACTTTTCTTAAGAATAACCAAGTTAAAAAATAACCTTCCTATAGTA